AGTTCCTCATCTTGTGGTGACCCCAACCATAAAATTACTTCATTGCTACTACATAACTGTAGTTTTGCTGCTGTTATGAATCTTTTTGGAGATAGAGGTTTGCCTAAGGTTGAGAACCATTGTTCTGTGGCATCCATAAGAACCTAAAGTCCATGCTAATGTTCCATTGATGACTGAAAATGGGTGGGGTCAACTCCAGTGCCATCCTGCCATAATACAAGATGAACTTGAAAAAAATACAGTCAGGCTGGAATGGCTCTGTATAGCTCAAATCATGGCCTTGCCTTTTGCCTCCTCATAATAGGAAATACAAAGGTCATATTGAAGGTACATGTATGAGTCCTTCCAGTGAGGCAACTGAATGGACACATGAAGTGGCTTTGCTCCATTTGGATGTCTTTCTTGCTCCTCCTCTCCCTTTCTTTCTTTCCTGTTTGTGCACCTGCACTTTGGAGGTCAGAGATCACTTTTAAGAATTGGCTCTGCTAGGGGCTGGAGAGATGGTTTAGCTGTTAAGAGCACTAGCTGTTCTTCCAGAGGACTCCAGTTCAACTCCCAGAACCGTATGACAGCTCGCCCCTGTCTGTAGCTCCAGTTTCAGGTGATCAGACACTCACAAACATGTAGGCAAAACACCAATGTACACAAAATAAAAATAAATCATTAAAAAGAATTGGCTCTGCCATCATGTGGGGCCCAGAGACCGAACTCAGGTCATCATGCTTAGCAGCAAGCACCCTCCTGAACTATTAGCTCACCAACCTCAGGTATCATTTTTTGCAGGAGAGGGATTTTGAAGACAGGATTTCTCTTTGTAGCCCTGGCTGTGGAACTCACTCTGGAACTCGGAGATCCACATGCCTCTGCCTCCTGAGTGCTGGGATCAAAGGCATATGTCATCACTCCCAGCTTGGTTTTGTTTTTGAGGCAGGGTCCCACTCTGTAGCCCAAACTGGATTCACCTTACAATTTTTCTGCCTCAGCCTGTTAGGTACTAAGATTACAGGTGTGCCACCACTACATCTAGCACGGGCGTGGTTTTTCTCTGCCATGAAAAACTACAGGTAGATTAGAAAGTTCCCCTTTGATTAAGTCCTTAGTGCTGATAAAGCCCTGCCCTTCCTCTCAAATGAGGAAGAATTTCTTCTTCAAGAGAACAAGCCCTGAGCTCAGGTAGAACTGAGATGCTCCCCACTTAGCTACCTACAAGCTGTGACCTTGAGCAGGTTACCCAGCATCTTTTGAGTCTCTTTCTGTAAAACACAGTTAAAAACTGGGGAGATGGTTCTGTCAAGGAAGTAAGGACCTTAGTTTAGATCCCTAGTGCCTATGTAAAATCCAGGTGCAGAGGTGCATGATTGTAAGCCAGTGTCAGTGGGGTGGAAGCTGGTGGATCCCAAGAACTCACTAGCCAGCCAGTCTTTTTTGAGAACCTCTTAAAAAAGTAAGGTAGAGTGTGACTGAGGAAGACATTTGATGTTAGCCTCTGGCCTGCACAGCACAGTACAGCACACCACAGGTGCACACACACACACACACACACACACAGAGAGAGACACACACAAAGTACACTCACATGCACAGAGGAAAAGGAAAGGAAAAGGATATTGCCCAAAATCTCTGGTTGTTATTTTTCTCATTTTCATATATGAGTGGTTGGCATGTGTGTGGATGTGCATGGGGTTGCATGATATCTAGAATCATCTGTGATAGCTCTTTACCATACTCATCAAACTAAGAGTTTAACAATATGGCTAATACTGCTAGGCAGCATGCTTTGGAGACTCCACCTTCTGACTGGAATTCTAGGCAGACTGCTGTACCTACTCACCATTTGCATGAGTTCTGAGCACTCTGGTCTTCACAATTAATAGCTAAGTGCTTTAATCACTGAGCTATCTCCCTGGCCCCATAAACCTCTAATTTTAGTAGAGGTGCCAATAAATGATTACTTCTTACTAAATCTCAGAGCAGTTCCAGAAGTTGCTGCTATCCAAAGTGTTGTAGACCCTGGGTAACTTTTGCGGGGGAGGGGGTGGTTGAGACCGAGTTTTAGTAGTTCAGGTTGACCTTAAACCCATGATCCTTCTGCCTCTACTTTCCAAGACTGGGATTGCAGACATATGCCACCATGACTCTTAAAGTTTATTTATATGTTTGTTTGTTTATTATTACTTGTGAGAGAGAATGCACATAGAGATCATAGGTCAATTTTGAGGAGGAGTCAGTTCTCTCAGTCTACTATAGATCCCAGGAATTGAACTTGGGTCAAATTTGCATGGCATAGTGCTTTTCCCTGCTGAGCCATCTCACGGGTGTCCCTCCCACTTCCTTTTTAATCTTTCATCTGTTGATCAAGAGGAACTTTTGAGGTACAAAGTAGTTGCTCAGTACATGCTTGCTGGATAAACTTGGGAGCTTCAGTATTTTCTTTGACCTCCTGACTTCTACAGCTGGGTAATATCTTGAGAGATGTTTTAAGAAAACTGGACAGACTTGAGAAATGGTGTAGTCACCATGTGCAAATGCTAGCCTTCTAGAGATAACTGTAGATTTTTAGAAACTTGAGGGAAGTTGTGGAAAGAAGAAACCTCCTTGCTTCTTTAAGATTTATTTACTTAGGGGGCTGGAGAGAGAGCTCAGCAGTTAAAAGCACCAACTGTTCTTCCAGAGACCCCAAGTTCAGTTCCTACATGTGACTCATAACCATCTGAATCTTCAGCTCCAAGAGATGTAATGTCCTCTTGCTTCCACCGGCACACATTTGGTACATAAATATACATGCAGGCAAAACCACTAGTGCACATAAATAAAAATTTTAAGATACCTATTTACTTATTTTATGTGTGTGTGTGTGTGTGTGTGTGTATGTATGTATGTATATATGTGCAATGTATGTGTGCAGTGTCCTTTGAGGCCAGAAGAGTGTGTTTGGAGCTGCCATTTGGGTGCTGAGAACCAAATCTGGTGTCTTCTGCAAGAGTAGCAAGTGCTCTTAACTCTTGGCCACCTCTCCAGTCCTCCTCCTCTGCTTCTTAAACTTTGCATTTCTCAAGATCACTTGTATGCATGAGGTGAGGATAGAACTGCCTGAACTTTGGTGAGCTGAGCCCCACAGCTAAGAACATTCTGAACATGATGACTACTACAAGGGGCTGTTGTGACTAACACCAGGGCTTTTTATTTCTAGTCTATGGATTAATCTACAGTTACTCTGTCTGCCTACTGACAGCCATGGAAGAGTGTCTCAGTAACATGGTCATAGATAACGATACTGAAAAAGGCAGATGGCCTTGGGCTCCTGTTCTGTGGGAGAGATACCTCGAAGGAAACTTCTTGGGTTAAAAGATATGGACAGTCAAAACACTGATAGATTCCCTCAGTTACCCTCCAAAATAAGACCAACTGTGACCAACAGTTCACTTGCCTGGAAAAAGAGATAAATACGTATCTTCCCCTACTCTGTGTTCTGGATTCTTCTCTTCCTTCCTGTGCAAAGCCTAAGTGAACATGGAATAGAACACAGATCCACCCTTTTCTTCTCTGTATTGCAGAGTCTGGCCACAGCTAAAGGACCAAAATGACTGATTCAAAATACTTCACAACAACCAAGAAAGGTACTGTATGTTTCACCAAGACCCATGCTATGTCTGCCAGATCTTCTGTTTCCTGCTGTGTTGGGGAGCCTGGGGAAGGTGGAGGCCTGGAGGCATCATTGGGAGTGGTGATGTAAGAACTTAAGTGTTGCTTTTAGAACCCAGGAAATAACATTAATGCTAAGCATGGGGGAAAGTACCTGTTTTGTTCCCCATGGCTTAAAAATAGTTAAATACATTCCTCCCTGGGGAAAGTACACCATTTGTCAGCAGCCCTGCTGTTGGAGGAGGCTGGTTCTTATCTATGGCATTGTTCTTCAAGTTGTAGCAAAAGTTTTTATCCTGTTATTCATTTGACATCATCATAAACATTTCCCAGCGGTTCTCATGACTCAGTATTAAGCCAGTTAAGTTGCTGCACTGCAGTTTACTAAGCTGAGTTAGTGAAATAGTGGAAGTCGTGACCGAAAAGTGTGCTTTAACCTCTCTGACCAGCCCTTCCCTTGCCCTCTCCTTTCCAGTGCCTGCTGATGAGATGGAAAGTGTCTTAGTCTGATTTAGATCTACAGATCGAGTTCCAGGACAGGCTCCAAAGCAATACAGAGAAACCCAGACTCAAAAACCAAACCAAAACAAAAACCCCAAGAATTAAGAGGGAGGGTGATGGTTCAAATTCCAGGAAACTGATCTTTGTATTTCACATCTCAAGGCCTGTAACTCTGGGGTGATTATGGTACCATGTTGGGAAGAGTCACACCATGTACATCAAAGATCGTAGTCAGATCTGGCTCCTCGTGTTGTTTGACATTTCTTAAACTTAGAATTATCAGAAATGGTAACATTTCCTGGGACTGTTAAATGAGATGAATCATGTCCAGCCATTAGCACAAAGCCTGGCACATAGCATATGTCCCAAATACTTTGCTGGTTCTTAGTGATTGCCAAACCTGTCCCTTCAGCCCTGCTTCCCTGAGATGCCCTGGAACCAGCAGCCCAATATAAGGTACGATATGAAGTTTTAGGGAGAGAAGAAAAAATAATATTTTGCAAATACCAGATGCTTTAGGTATTTTCTGTCTCATTAAGTATCACAGGGGCCTGGAGAAGTGGGTTTCTGGAGGTAGGGAGAAGTCCTGGGAATTGAACCCTGGTCCTTGTGTATGCTAGACAAGTATTTTACCACTAAGCGCCAGCCCCAACCTCAAAGTCAATTTCTGTTGCACGTTCTTTACAAATACTTATACTTAGGAACTTATACTTAGGGCCTGGAAGAAGTTTCCCATGAAGCAAACAAACCTTTAAAATCACTGCTTATTTTCCTTCTTCCCCATTTCTCACTGTCATCCCTTCCCTCCCCTGCAGTTAGCTAGCTGCCTGAAAAGCTTGTGTTCTCTGTATTCAACCTCTACTGATGCTACTTTGATTTTGCAGTGCCCTCTTCCCTGATGTGGTGAACTGCATGCAAACAGATAACCTGGAGCTAAAGAAGCTGGTGTACCTGTACCTAATGAATTATGCCAAGAGTCAGCCTGATATGGCCATCATGGCTGTCAACACCTTTGTGAAGGTGAGTAGGAACCCAGTGGGAATGCGGATAAGGACTGCTCACTGTCTCATGTCCCTGTCTCTTTGGAATACTGGGGTACTCTGGCTTGGATGGAATTTTCAGGCACATTTGCAGGCCTGCAGGCTTCCTTCTGCCTGATCAGGCTGAGGGCCTCTTCCTCCAGCAGAGGGCCCCCTCTCTCTCCAGAACCACAGACCTAAAGACTGTGGTTTATTCATTCCCTATGAGGTGGCACTAGGCCTATTGGCCTTTCATTTTCCTGGGCTGGGCCACTCACTCCTCGTGTCTGTTGCCATGGCAGATTTAAGCAAGCATCTGAGAGCAGCTCTATTCCCTTACCAGATGGCTCCTTTCTGTATTTTCTGTTACTAGATGAGCAGAGCATGAACTTGGACACTGAGTCCAGCCCACATACAGGAAAATGAACGTTTCTATGGCTGTGTGTGCCTATAATTCCAGCACTTGGGAGGCTAGGAAGGAAGGTTGCCAAGAGTTGTGGGTCAGTGTAGGCTACATAGTGAGTTCCAGGCCAGTCTCAGCAACAGGGCAAGGCCTTGTCTGAAAAGATTGAGGACTATAGTGCTAGGAGCATATGGGTTTGCATAGCTGCTCTGCTCTGATGGGGTGAGCACAGAACCTTCTGCAGAGCCTCAGCTTCCTTGATTGTGAAACAGGGCCCCAGGAAGCAACAGAGAAAGTGTATAAAGCCCCTCACACAGTATCTGGCAGATGCTTGGCATCCATTCTGTGGCATTTACTTTGAGTGTTATTGGCTGTGGTCAGTGGACACCCCACAGCAGCTGCCTGATGTTGTCTAGAGTTGGAAGCCAGGAAGAATAGGAAGCCACAGATGACTCATCCTGCCCCTGCCCAATGACTGGTCCCCCTTAGGACTGTGAGGACCCCAACCCCCTCATCCGGGCCCTGGCTGTAAGGACCATGGGCTGCATTCGAGTTGACAAGATCACAGAGTACTTGTGTGAACCACTCCGAAAGTGCCTGAAGGATGAAGATCCATATGTGCGCAAGACAGCGGCTGTGTGTGTAGCCAAGCTCCATGACATCAATGCCCAGCTGGTAGAAGACCAGGGTTTCCTGGATACACTTAAAGACCTCATCTCTGACTCTAACCCCATGGTAAGTGCTAACAGCCCTTGGGATGCCCACAGACTTCTGGGTTCCTTGGGAAGAACACCTGGCATGATTCCCACCTGGCTTTCCTTTTCTTAGAAATTAGGTCCTTGAGGAATATCTAGTACCTGTTCCTTGCAGTGGCTTGCAGGGAGCTGGGCCTGGATTTCTTTTGGCCCTCTCAAACTATCTACATGGCTTCAGGAAAGCTGCCTAATCTTGGGATCCCTGTTTGTCTCATTAGACTGTGGGAAGGTGACATACCTGATCTAGCTGGCCTGACCTGGCAAGCAGTGACTCTGCAGTTAGTGCTAGTGTCCTTCCCTTTCTAATCGCTGTCACTGTTACTAGCTCCTAACCAAGACCTGTAATTCCCGAACACATAGCTCTCTTCTAGTAGAGTTGCAGAGATGTCACCTTACAATACTATAGTGTGGAAGACAGGACACCAGGACTCGGTGGGAACCCGAATCCCCTCACTCACTGTGATGACAAGACTTTGCAGTGTAGTTTGTCAGGGCCTGTAACCCCAGCAATCAGTAGGCTGAAGCAGAAGGACTAAGAGGTAAAGGCCACCCTCTGCTATATAATGAGATCCTTCCTAAAAATTTAACACTATGAAAGAAAAAAATGAAATATTCAAAACATTGGGCACAGCCCCTCTCTGTACCCAAACAAAACACTGATTGCTCTTAAAGACTGATTACTATAACACTGTGTCATAGAGGAAAGTTGAAAACATTATAGATTGTACATAAAAGGAGCTGTCTTGGTGGAAACATTATTTGGTAAACCCCTCTATAGTCTAGACCCATCCACTCTCAGCAGCCTTGAAGAGATCTGCAGGATTCTTCTGTCTCTGAGAAGCACAGGTGACAACCACTGCAATGAGCGGCTCTAGCCAGTAGAGGGAGGTTGGACTGGTACTGGGCATTGCCTTCCATTGCTAGGTGCCTGGAGCTGGGTCTTTCTTTCCCTTCTTTCCAATGACAGGTGTACTTATTTTAGTTCTGCTTTACAGAGGAGTCAGTGGGGTGAGTGTTGTAAGTCAGACATTTTTCAGACTCTAAAACCTACCAGTAGGGTCATATTCTTTATCGAGTGTCCCATCTTGACCTACTAGTGTCATTAGCCCCTGTGCTCCCTAACTTGAGCAGTCCCTCCAGCCTCTACCCCTTCCACTCTCAACCAGGTGGTGGCAAATGCAGTGGCTGCCCTCTCAGAGATTGCGGAGTCTCACCCCAGTAGCAACCTGCTTGACTTGAACCCACAGTCCATCAACAAGCTGCTGACAGCCCTTAATGAATGCACTGAGTGGGGCCAGATCTTCATTCTGGACTGTCTGGCCAACTACATGCCCAAGGATGACCGTGAGGCACAGAGGTGAGCATACAAACCCCTTGCTTACCAGCCTGGTTGGATATGGTCCTCATGACCTCTCTGAGCTGGGCCTCAGGCCTGAATGGGCCTCCTTCCAAGACCTTTCTTCTGTCATCAGACATACTTTAAGGGAGCCAGCCGGCTTCTCATCTCCTGAACCATGCTGTCAGTTGTATGGGGTCTGGCCAGGAACTGACAAGGATCCATCTGGGCTGAATGAAGAGCTTTATAGCTTCAGAACCACTGAGTTCTCTAGGTATCTGACCTCTGCTGGGTGCCTTCCATGTTATGTAATGTTTATAGCAGATCTTTGAAATGTATCCCATCATTATTAGCCATCTTACAGACAAGGAGACTGAATTAGAGAGGTGCAAGGAATTGCGTAGTTCACCCAGCTGGGACTGTCTTGACCAACATGAAAGAATTTGACAGTAGAAGGGAAAGAGCTTACATTTAGAGATATTTACTATGTTCCAGGCTCTGTATTCACTGTTTTCACTTAGGTGTCCAACAAACCTGTGGAGTAGACACCGTTACACCAACTCTGAGATGAGGAAAGTGAGGCTCACTGTGTTCTAGGCCTGCTAGAATCAGTAGGCAGCAGACCAGAAGGCCTTCCTCCTATAGAAAACATCCTGTTTTACCTGGAGATAGTTCAGTTGGTGGAGTGATTACTAAGCATACATGAAGCCCTGGGTTCTAGCCCCAGCCCCACATAAACCAGACATGGTGGTGTGTGCATGTAATCTCAGCACTTGGAAGGTGGAGGCAAGAGGATCAGACATGTTAAGACCAGTGGGAAAGCACTTGTCTCACATATATGAGACCCTAGGTTCAGTGTAAGTCCTGGAAGAAAAAGAAAAAGTGGGGGTGGAGCAACCCTTTTCTTGGGCAGTTCATTGGCTACATAGTGAGTTTAAGGCCCACATGGGTTATATGAGGCCCTGTCTCAAAAAGAAAAAGAAAAAAAAAAAAAAAGACATGCTATTTTGATAAGTGAACCAGGACTTTTCCCTTGTCTATCTCTCTTTGCACTACTGCAATGGCTGGACCCCAGCATCTGTGAAAGGGTCACTCCTAGGCTCTCCCATGCCAACTCTGCTGTGGTGCTGTCTGCTGTGAAGGTGTTAATGAAGTTCATGGAGATGTTGTCCAAGGACCTGGACTACTATGGCACACTGCTCAAGAAGCTAGCACCTCCTCTGGTCACACTGCTGTCAGCAGAGCCAGAGCTGCAGTATGTGGCTCTGCGCAACATCAACCTCATCGTGCAGAAAAGGTACAGAGACTGCCATTACATGTTTGCTACATGCTAGAGACAGGGACCTTCAAGGGAAACTGATCTGTCACCAGGCAGGAAGTCTAAAGAGTACTGCAGGGCTCTCAACCAGAGAACTTTACCCCCCAGGGGACACTTATAAGAAACTACCTGGCCTAGGTCAGGGTGTCAATGTTACAAAGCCCTGACTCAGACTTAGAGAAAGCGAATAAGTAAAGGCAAGCATGGTGCTGCTTCGCCCAGACATTTAGTGGCTCAGAGTCTGTAGAGTCCTTCGGGATATCTGAAGATTTTATATGTGTGCAGTTTGCTTGGGGACAAAGTTCATAGGTATCATCAAAATCCTTGAATTTGGAGACCCTAGAGATGGTGAGAAGTCATGGATTTGGCATCAGCCTCAAAGCCTGAAGGGAGAAGTAGAACAGAATGCTGGGCAACCTGCTTCCTTCCTCCAAGGATGACTCCAATAAGTCAGTCACTGTGCCCAAGGAAGGGGTCTGGTGCTTGATGGGTAAGGTCTGAAACTCCATAAGCAGCAGTGGGTCTGCAGTGTCTCTGGAATGGCCTTCTCCTTCCTCTAAGGCAGGGTTCCTGCAGTGTG